CGTAGTCATTAAGATGGACGTTTTCATTAAGATGAAAGCTACATCCCACCATGCTTTAGGAGCAAAAGATGACATCTTTTTCAAGCATCAACCTCTCGACCTCTCTAAACCAACAATACGGCTTGTGCACCTGCTCCCGCTCCCATCGCCTAATGGTCACATCCAGTGTTCCATTTCGCACGCTACTATCGGCTCCACATACACTTGTCCATCTTACTGTTGGGGAGATCCCAACCCACATGTCTCATTGAAATCGACGGTAAAGCTTTCGCCATCGGCCACAATCTTTTCGACTTCCTTGCTGCCGCACGTAGAACAGCTGCCTGCGATGACTCTCTTGCAACGGGGCCATACCGGATTGATGCATTGTGTATCGATCAGTCGAACGTATCCGAGCGGAATCACCAGGTTCGTCAAATGGGGACGATCTACGCTCAGGCAGTACAAGTGCACGTTTAGCTCGGCCCTGCGCTACCGGACATTGCTGTGTCAAGATCAAGGAAGCTGAGGTCTAGATATGAAAGACAGGACTTTTTGGACACCAATAGCACAGACGAACTCTTGCAGCACGTCTCGGAGAACGTATATTGGACTCGCGCGTGGATTGTACAAGAGCTGGTGCTTGCTCAGCAGGTAATCATATGTATAGGCCCGTTGTTTTTGGACTTGGATGATTTTGACTGGAGAACGCGGCCAAAATGGGAGTCAATTCCGACAATTCGAATCAATCCTTTCTGGCGACTCAACCGCATCCGATGTGGAAGGCTTTTCAACGACAAATTATCTATCAGAAAATCTCTAATTCGTTTGATAGAGTACTTTCATGATAAGCAGTGCTCTGATCCTCGAGATCGTATCTTCTCATTGCTTTCAATAGTGAGAGGTGAGGGCGAAGACCTAGAAGTCGATTATGGTCTCTCCCGAGCAGAACTAGCGTTCGAGGTGTTGCGCAAATGCGAACGCTCCCTGTGTCTTTGTACGGCTATACTAGTTGCACAGACGCTACAGCTGGATATCGATGGCCTCGAGCCCGGTCTTCGGCTACTACCCTGCCTTGAGTTTTGTATCAAAGACATCCCTGTATCATCCGACTTCAGCCAGGGACGGCAAAGAGGAGTATGGGAGGAATGCGTTCGATCTGGTCTGGACTTTGGAGCCACTTGCAGATGCAGTGCGTTGTATCCTTGGAGACTCAATCCGTATCTGACATATTTGGATAACGCTGAATCTCTGCACCAAAGGCCAACACAGATGGAAGATATCACTTTCAGACCGGTTGAAGGGCTAGAAGATATCTATATAGTGCGCATATCACTCTCGTTCCTAGCGACAATCGTGCAGCACCCTGTGGAACTGTGCCCGGACGTACAGTACAAGTCAAAAAACGATCGTTTTCCTGTCGGCTATCCACGAATTTGCTATGCCACTGACCCCCTGCAACCACCAGGGGCCACAGATTCTTCGTCCCTTTTTGTTCGTCTTCAGTCGCAGCCGTCAGGACCAGCAGAAAAGCAAAGCCCTGCCGAGTACGAGCGTTTTTCGTGGAAGCAGTACTCCGCAAGTATCTTGGATGCAGTAAAAGCCTTGAGATCGTCACCACTCATAAGCATTGGAAGGAAATACTTGTGGAGGGATGATCCAATATCTGGGCGTATACGAAGCGCATTAGTTGATAACAAAGAATGGCTCGAGGTATTGGAATTCGAACGAAGGAAGAATGGGAGAGACATGAATGGTTTTCGGTATGGACTTTACTAATACTCAAATGGAGCAACATAGTTAGAAATGCTTTAGAGAAAACACGAATTTGCAATGTGAAAATGGCTGAAACAAGTGTTTATATGAATATGATGAAGACCAAGAAGGGCAAAGATCCACCCAGAACACAGCCAAATTGCTGGAGGGTAGAAAACAAATTCTAGAGATTGCAAGCTCGATGGGAACAACCAGATGGAAGCTACGTGCCGTTGCTTTACCTCTATCTCTTTCCAACCAGAAAGAAATAAGACAAAGTCTACCATCAATAAAAACAGGCTCGCATAAACGAAGTGTTGTGCATCAGCGGACAGATGATAGCTTTGAGCTAATTTCTTGTTACAGGATTTGCAGGAATTGTTCGGCTGAGTAACGAGGTGGGCAAAACAGAGACTGCCTTCGGTGAGAATTCATTAAGTAAAGGCGACTTTCGACATGATAACAGGGCATCGTGGCGATACAAAAGTAGCTCTTGGAATGATTCATTGAGGTGAGTTCTCATGAGTTTTGCAGTAAACCATTTGTGTGCTTTTTGAATACTTTGTGTTCTACGGAGGAACTACTACTTAGCTAGATGATCTCGAATGCGCGCAATGAGCTTTTCAGCCCCAAGTAAACAGGCCTTCAGTCATGGGCGATGTAGTATTGGTTTGCCTTACGACAGGAAGTGGACGGTTTCAATTGGCGTCGAATCCCTATGTTGTCATCACCCAAGCAGCGTTTGCCGTGCCGTAAAATTGCATTACTTGACAGGCCGCTATGTCATGAATGGAATAGCTAATCAGACGTGTCATAACCGGTCCGACCCAGTCTTTTACGCGTAGATGTAACTTCTTTATCTACCAAAGATCCCGAAACAACACTGTATCTTTCACTAATCTGCTTCTGAATGCTTTCACCTGAGGTCTTTTGATTGACCTCACCGCAAAGATAATGCTATGCGACGACCTAGCTCTGGACTATGCGGACCGGACATACGAGGATTGGAAGCGAAAGCTTGACGCTGCGAAGGAGGCAATTATCCAATTTGTGACCAAGAGACTCAAAAGCCATGTGGCTGGAGAGTTTGGCGGCTATCTTGAAAGATCTTACAACATATGCTTGATCTTCAAGGTCAGCGCAAAGCCCACATATGTGATACGCTTCTCAAAACCAGGACTTACCGCGGTATGTTTCATAGAGGAGAAAGTTCGGAATGAAATTCAAATCGTGTCTCTGCTTCGAGAGAAAACCACGATTCCCTTGCCAACAATCTATACCTGGGGTATGACTGATGATAGCCCATCGCAGATCGGGCCGTTCATCATAATGGAATATATCGAAGGAAGGCGATTGATGGAAGCATTAAAACAACCTACGGAAACCAAAGATGGCAAAGTCGATCTTTGGAAAGATTTGGGCGACTCAAGAGTAGTTCATGCCTACACCCAGATAGATGACTATCTGCTGCAAACTTATCAACTGGATTTCAGCGCAGCCGGTTCCATCAGCAGAAGCCACACACGTGATTGGGTGGTCACCGAACGGCCTCTCACAGACCACATGAATAGTTTAGCAACCGATGTTTCGAACTATCCAACCCAACTTTTCCCCACTTCATGCTGTAGCTCGCCAAGGATGTACTTTCGTCAGCTCGCCGACCAGCATCTGAATCATCTCCATACTCATCGAAACGCAGTGGGCAATCTCGAAGATGCAAGGAGGTATTTCATTGCCCGTCATCGTCTCAAGCAGTCCATAGACAGATTTCTCTACACCAACAACAACACAAGTCCTTTCAAGATCTACTGCTATGATTTTTGCCCATCGAACATGATCGTAGACGGAGATCTCAACATCAAAGCTGTTGTAGATTTCGAATTTTGGAATGCGCTGCCCGCGCAATTCGCCCATGGCCCACCCTGGTGGCTCACTTCATTGCAACCAGATGAGTGGATTGACCGTGGCTTCGATTTTGAAGCACTAAAATCAAGACTTGAGCCGCATGTTGAGCAATTTCTACAAGTGATGGAGAAAGTGGAGAAGGAGAAAGCCACGGACGGACCTGTGGCGTTACTATCCGTTCCAATGCGAGACTCATGGATCTCCGGTGGATTTTGGTTCAACCTTGCGATGAATGACAGCTGAACTATCGATGCTGTCTACTAGGCTGCACTACATAAGCCTGGGGAGGAGGTGCTACATGAGGCTATGGAGGACGAATTAAAGGCATTTTATGATATGAAAATGAAGCAAATGGAAGCGTTTAACGCAGAGTGCAAGGAGCGTGGAATCTGAGATGCAAGTCATGTACAGAATTGGATCATGATAGTATGATTGTACGAAACAAACTGTACTTCGAAAACCTGTAATCTCAGACCTTGTCCAGTATTGTTCTCTTCCTAGCTTACGTGTGGAGTCAGAACAGGCGTAGAAGCAGTAGGGGTAGCCGACATTTTACGCGACTTTACGCTTTGCATTGCCATATGGCCATGCTGATGCTAGTGAAACGCATATGCACTAGATTCTATGGATAGTTTGATTACCCAGGAGTAGAATCCCTATTTTGTGGGGTGCATCAACATGCTTTTCGATGTGAAGGTGCGGGCCGGACAGCATTATAGTCCCCATGATCAATTTCCAACGCTAGTCATCTTAGCTACCTAGATGAGCTAGTATGTTTGAAACCATCCCGACAGCGAGCCAATCGCGTAGTTGGTCATTGCAACGACTACGATGAATGCGGTAAGTGGCCGAAGCGCTGTACATTGTTCGGTCACGGCTGGGGAAGAAGACGGACGCGCTCCGGTACTCTGAGCGTTAAGCGGGTCGGTACACTTCGCAGAGGAATATTCCACGAATCTGGGGTACGGCACATGGGTATGAGCCGGAGATACTAATGCAATGCGGCTCGCGAAACTCGTGGAAGTAATCGAGGATGCATCACCATCTCTTCTCCGGCGGAACCAATCTAGTCAGCCGAGTGTTTGAAATACCTGTAGGCCGACTTAGACCCAATAGAAGTTCTAAGAATCTTTACGCCCATCAAGGGTGTGACAGACTACTCAGAGCAGGGGACGGAAGATCGCCGTGTTCGAAGAGGATATGGAAACCGCTGATCATGAGATCGCAAAGGATGATGTGGTATATAACTACCAGAGAAATGCATCTTTGTGCTTCTCGCCAGGTCATTCAATCGCTCAAGTGGTGATCCATCACAGCTTCCTTCGTTCCACAAGATCCGTTAAGGCGGCATTCTTTCCATTATGTTCTCCAAGATTACATCTCTTCTCGCCCTTGTGGCAACGGCCAACGCACATGGCTACCTCTCTTCTCCGATGAGCCGAACTGGCTTGAATGCGCAAGTGAGTGTGCTAAGCGTTGACATGTCTGAATACGGTCATTGACACATCGTAGTCTGGTGCAGATACTTGCCCGGAGTGTACTATCCTCGAACCCGTCACAGCATGGCCAGACCTTGACGCCGCAAAGGTGGGTCGCTCGGGCCCTTGCGGATACAACGCTCGCGTATCTGTGGACTACAACCAGCCCGGCCCTCGCTGGGGTTCACAACCCATCATCACCTACAAAGGCGGTGATGTGGTGGATGTACAATGGTGCCTTGATGCCAATGGTGACCATGGCGGCATGTTCAGCTACCGCATATGCCAGAACCAGGCCATTGTCGACAAGCTCCTAACCCCTGGGTACCTTCCGACTGAGGCAGAGAAGCAGGCAGCGGAAGACTGCTTCCAGGCCGGTGAGCTGAAGTGTACCGATGTTCCTGGCCAGACGTGCGGTTACAACTCCGACTGTCAACAGGGCCAAGCTTGCTGGAGGAACGACTGGTTCACATGTAAGTGCATCTTCACCTGTTTGACCAAGGACATTTCGACTGATACCAAAAAGGTGGCGGCTTCAATGACGGTTCGAAGTGCAGGAGCGTCGACAACGCAGCTCTTAACTCGTGCTATACCAGCATCGCCGGCGGATACACCGTCAGCTCAAAGATCAAGATACCCAACTACACGAGCAACCACACGCTATTGTCTTTCAAGTGGAACTCATTCCAGACTCCACAGGTCTACTTGACTTGCGCGGACATCAAGATCACTGGCAGTGGCTCAGGCGGCTCCACCCCACCCACTTCGAGCAAAGCCCCAACGACGACGACGAAACCGACTTCCACAGCGGTACCCAGCGGTTGCGCGACACCCGTTGCTACTGTAGCTGTGACATTCGACTCCAAGACCACGACGGTTGTGAGCCAGACAGTCAAGATTGTTGGGTCGATCGCCCAACTTGGTAGCTGGAACACAGCCTCTGCACCCGCGCTCTCTGCGAGCCAGTACACCAGCGCGAATCCGCTCTGGTCCACGAAGATCAACTTACCGGCTGGCACCAGCTTCGAGTACAAGTTCATCAAGGTCGAGAGCAGTGGTACCGTGACGTACGAGTCGGGTGCTAACCGTGTGTATACCGTGCCGAAGGGATGTTCAAGCACAGCCACCGTTGCTAGCACGTGGAAGTAGGCTTCTCGATAATCGTTTGGATGCGGATGGCTATAACTTTTCTAAGGGGCAATATAAGAGCGGGAAAGCTTGTGATATGACAGTCATTATTGAACGTATGAAATTATGTCAAACCCTCGTTGGAACCAGCCGTGCAAAACTAAGCCCGTGATGGAAGATGGCATGATTCCTGGCCGTATCACAGACATGACCGTATAAGTGTCGGAATCTTTAGTGATTCAAGGTTTCGGCAAGACTCCGCGAAGGGAATATGCCATGCTTAGGCTGTCGCATTGTAGGGAACGTCCTTAGGACGTCGGGAGGCTGGGAAGCTTCGTTGTTCGTCACGTGTCTGCGTCCATGATGCGCTAATCTCCTCTAAGTCGCGGATCTGACGCGCTCATCTCTTCCCTTCCTTTTTCAAAGTTTCTCGAAGCACAAACATCATCCTGCCTATTGAGATTAGAAAGCTAGTCAAGGTAACGGCTGAATCTGCAGAGACAAGCCGGTTTCTTTTTTGCTAATGACGCCATTTGTGCCTCTCGACCGGGAACACGGTACCTTGCGTCTTGGCAATCCGTCGCGTTCCTGCCACCCATATGCTCATCAGGCCGGCAACATATCAAGCTCCATCTGGCAGGTCGTGTAACCACAACATGCGTATCACCAAGGACCCCGCTCCTATCAGCGATGTCATTGTCCAGAATGCACAAGGCCAACGTCCGCCCAGATGCCGGCTCAATAAAAGTCGGTTAAGCCGTGGAAAGCTTCCTTGGCACACAGCTAATAAGGCAGGTGCGTACATGTAAGATCTTGGCAGCGATTGTGATGCTCCGCTCCGCATGTTGTGACGCCGCCCGAGAACCCGGACAGCATATAACAGCATCTCAGGCGGACATGGTTCTTTAGAAGTTCTTTCTGCACTTCCGACTTCTTCACACCGTCTCGGATTGTACACGAGAAGATGGCGATGAAGACAGCGCTTGTGGCTGCTGGCCTCTTTCTGGGGTCTGCTAAAGCCATTACCGTCGAGTATGTCTTACTGGATATTACCGCAATAGAATTCTAATTGTAGTCAGGGGCATGCTTGCTGCACCTCGCAGAAGTACCGGCAGTCTCAGCCCGAAGGGAGTACGTATATGCGTAGATGTTTAAAACCAACGCTAACGGGATAGGATCGTGCCTTGTTCTCAGAAACCAAGTTCAATTGGACGTCCGAGAAATCCAGCACTTCTTGGTACTTCATTGACACCGAGTCTGGTAACATCACAAAAGCACCTTTTGGAAGCGACGCCTCGGAAGTGGTATGGGTCGGCGATACGGAGGACAGTATCCTCTACCTCAACGCTACCAACGAGGAGATTCCCGGAGGAGTAACTCTTTATACTGCCGATCTCAGCGGTGACTCTTTTGAGCCAACACTGGTGGCATCATTGCATGCTCCTCTCTCCGGGCTGAAGGCTGTGAAGACCGACTCAGGAATCAACTTTGTCGGAAACTGCCTTGCCTACGAGAGCAATGGAACCGCGTACAACCCTGAGCTCGTGACTGCCCCGAAGAGTCTTGGTCAGTTGTACGACAGCAATTTCATAAGGCATTGGGATTACTACATCACTGCCGAACGCGTAGCTGTTTTCAGCGGAGTCCTCAATGGCGGAAACGGAACTTACAGCTATGGAGGCGAGCTCAAGAACTTGCTTTCCGGCATGAACTACACAGTCACACGCCCCGAGAGCCCAGTGCAGGGTTCTTCGAGCGACCCAGCCGACTATGACTTGTCTCCGGATGGCAGCATGGTTGCCTTCCGCACCAAGTCTCCTGATCTTCCCAAGGCGAACTACACCGCGAGCTACATCTATGTTGTTCCATTCGACGGATCTGAGGTCGCCGTGCCAGTCAATGGACCCGGCACCACCGCTCCCGAGACCGCACAGGGTGCATCTGGCGCTCCTGTCTGGTCGCACGACGGCAGCAAGCTAGCCTACACCCAACAGGATGGCATCGATTATGAGTCTGACAAGTACAAGCTATATGTTGCTGAGATTGATGGCATGAACAGTGAAGTTCACTCAGTCGCTGAAGACTGGGATTCCAGCCCCACCGGTCTACAATGGAGTCCAGATGATGTCGACCTTTGGGTCACCTCGGAGCTGCACGCTTCTGTCCGCCTCTGGCTTGTTCCTCAGGACGCGCCAGCTGACTTCACACCTGTCAACTTCACTGGCCCCGACACTGTTCTCTCCGACTTCGCCGTCCTCCCTGACGGCAGCGCTTTCGTCTCCGCGGCCGCTTCCTGGACTAGCCGTATGTTCTACAAGCAATACCCTGGTCAAGACAAGCACGTTCTCTTCTCTGCCAACGAAGTCGATGCGGAGCTTGAGGGTCTCACGTCGGACTCCGTATCGAACTTCTGGGTTACCAACGACGATGGCGACGATATTCAGACTTTCGTCTTCTACCCTACCGACTTCGACCCGAGCAAGAAGTACCCTCTCGCATTCATCATCCACGGCGGTCCTCAATCTACTCAAGGTGACAACTGGAGCGTGCGGTGGAACCTGAGGCTTTGGGCTGACCAAGGCTTCGTTGTGACTGCCACACAATTCACTGGATCCCCATCTTACAGTCAGGCCTTCACCAACAAGATCCAAGCAAACTGGGGCGGAACTCCCTACACCGATCTTGTCAAGGTTTTCGAGCACCTCCGCGACAACGTCGACTACGTCGATACCGATCGCGCCATCGCCGCCGGTGCGTCGTTTGGCTGCTACATGACAAACTGGATCCAAGGTCATGATCTAGGTCGTGAGTTCAAGGCCCTTGTCTGTCACGACGGAAAGATCAACCAAGTCGGTTCCTACGCTACCGACGAACTCTGGTTCATCCAACGCGACAACAACGGTACTGTCTGGGATGACCGCGAGAACTACGAACTCTGGGACCCTCTCCCTCATTTTGCCAATGCTAGCACACCGCAGTTCATCATCCACAACGATCTGGACTACCGTGTTGTGCAGGCTGAAGGACTGCAGACATTCAACATTCTGCAGAGTTTGGGCGTACCGTCGCGCTTTTTGCACTTCCCTGATGAGGGTCATTGGGTTACTAGTAGACAAAACAGTTTGCTGTGGCACAACTACATCTTTAACTGGATCAGGTACTACGTTGGGTTGGATGAAGAACTAACCATGGATGGTGTTATTACGCAGTAGATTAGCATCTAGAGCACGAATGGTATTACTTGAATGCTGCGAGCGCAATTTGGAAACATGATTGTACTGCGAATAGTGAACAAATTACCATCTTAGTGCCAGGTCCATGAAGTTAAAGGGATGGTTCGGTCAAGCAGCTTTGCTAACGCCGAAACAGTTGCTGGTATCTAATTGGCCTACTCCCAGTGTGGTGGTACAAAAGGACTTGAATGGCGTTGGAGAGGCGCATGCGTAGCGGAGATAACGGACGAGCTGGTTTTTGCTGTACCTCAGTTTCTCCCCGCCGGTATCCTCTACACATGCTAAACTGAGACCTCAGCTGCCCTTACATTCAGATCTGGACCTTGCATCCATAACTCCGTAAATCTGTGGTTGCTTATCACCGCGTCTCCGGAAATCTTTCATACTTCATATCTTCGACGAGCAAACGTTTGTTTACCACCTTCTCAAAGAAAAGATCCATCTCATGTTGTTATTGGTGCCTGCAGCACCCACTAGCGTACATCATCCATATTCAATTCTTCTGTAGACTCCATTCAACAACACACTTCTACTCAAACACTTCTCTCGCAACGAAGTATCACTTTTCGGACGTTGCCCGAATGTCTCAATTCGACATCATCGGCGAGCAGTACAAGAAACTGCCTATCCTCATCAACAGCGCAAATGTTGGTGGAAAGACGTACATTGTGACGGGTGGTAACACCGGACTTGGGCTTGAGACAGCAAGACACCTAGTCAAAGCAAACGCAGCCCACGTCATCATTTCGAGTCGCAAGATTTCGGCAGGTGAGGCAGCGAAGGCAGACATCGAGCACACAACTGGGCGTAAGAATGCGATTAAGGTCTGGCAGCTTGACCTTATGTCGTTCGCGTCCGTGAAAGCATTTGCAGCCAAAGCCTCAGAACTAGAGCGAATTGATGCTCTTATCGAGAACGCCGGAGTTATGACGGACAAGTTTGTCCTCGCCGAAGGCCACGAGAGTTGTATGACAGTCAACGTTATCAGCCCGTTCTTGTTGGCCGCGCTATTGATGCCGAAATTACAGGACACGGCACAAACGTTCAACACCACGCCGCGCATCGTCATGGTTGGTAGTGTACTGGCGTTCCAAGCAAATAAAGAGCTAGAGAAGGGTGGACCAGAGAATATTCTAGCGAACCTGAACGATGCTAAAGTCGCGGACCGGTGAGTTCATTACCTCTTTCATGTGCTCCTCCGATGAAACAACTTCACAAAACCAAAGTTTGTATGGAATGACGGCTAACGCGTCTATAAAGCTATCCTTTGACCAAACTCGTGCAGCTATACGCCACCCGTCAATGGGCCTCTCTGTATACTGTCGAGAAAACCAACGTGATCATGAACATGACTGCACCTGGCGTATGCTCGACTGGTCTTGCCCAAGATACAAGCGCCGCCACTCGTGCTTTGATCGGTACGATTCGGTTCCTTTTTGCGCGGACAGCCGAGGAAGGCAGCCGTACAACGGTTCACGGTGTCGTCGCTGGTAACGACAGCCACGGCCGATTTCTCTCCGGCTGCAATATCAAAGAGTAAGCTACGTGTGTTGAGCTATATCTTGAACTCTACTGACAGGACCGATAGTTGGTGGGTCCCCACCTGGGCCAAGAACGAACAGGGATTGCACACACAAAAGCAATTGTGGAAAGAGCTTACTGAAATCCTGGAGGCGACATCCCCTGGCGTGATTTCAAGCATCAAATCCGTTAGCACCTAGACAGTGCGTCCAAGCATAGTGGATCCGAGAGAGATTGAATAGTCGGTAGTCTCATAATAAGGTCTATCGTTGAGACAGGATCGGAGTAAGCTTACGATTCCGTTCGTTCCAGTAGTAATTGATTGATAATCAAATAATTGTTCGACGTTTGTAGGATTGTAAATGCCGTGGTACGTCGCGATGTCAGTGGCATCAAAGAGCAAACTTAACCGTGTGCGTGTATCCGCATGCAGCTGGGGGCCAAACACTGTTGGGAGGAAAGGATCGAGCAGCATATGTTTACAAGACGACCCTGAAACCGTTACAGCTCGTGGGTTCTTGCTATTAGAGAGATGAGTGGTTAAGGTGATGTAAATGGGGTCATAGTTGAAGTTGAACGCCGTCAGGGAAGAGGTGGGAGGCGGTGCCCGAGAGATATGCCTTCGTATCTGACAAAATCGACAGAGGCGGGGAATAGTCAGCGTATTGTTGTTCGGTGGCTTGCTTCTAGGCGCATGTGTCGGGTGGCGCCGACTAGTAGTGTTGTTGAATGATGTCGAGGTTGTAGGATGGCGATGGTGTCGTGAAAGTACGCGCAGGCATGCGAAGTCGCTGTAATATATGATCGTGGTTGCGATTGTCATCGAGAGGAGACGCAAGGTGAGGATGGAATGATGTGGAGAGAAGGTAACAGTTTGGCTCATAGTCACAATCCTGATCGAGATGCTGCGATAGTTACAAAGCGAAATCTGAAGTAATTTTGGGCGAAATCAAGACGCCATGCTTCGACGCGGGCGCGTCAGGGCGTGTCTCGCATTTGAGTTCTGATGTTCCTCCCACGGGCCTGATCGCCTTGACCCGCGTGGAGAGCCCCGCTTTCCACACTCAGCTGCGTCCACGCCTGCAGAGTTTCGTACCTTCACTCTACTCGGCTCATCTTCTATCACTCTAACTATCATTTACTAGTTCTGTGTTGCTTAGATAACGTGCAGCTGGGAGCGATTGCCGCTTGTAGTCTGCATTCGTTTGGGCAGCACATATCGACCTTTAGCCTCGTTTACTGCTCCTCAGCACCTTTCGTGCAAAATTGCGACGTTTTCGACACACTGATGAAGTTGTCAGAGATTTGACGCTCTAACACTAGCTTTCGATAATATGCGACATATCATCGTACGCTGAGTCAACTTCCGGGGGCATGATGGCGACTTCAGTGCCGTCAAGCGACCCTACTGCTTTCCAGCATGAGCCCTTGGATCATACACAACCATCGATCAGGCTCATTAGAATAAACAGTGGCCTTTCTGCAGAAGGCCATGTTCGGTGTGAAATATCGAATACGACTACCAATGCCAGATACACTTGTTTATCCTATCGATGGGGCGATACGTCTACCTCCACATTGAAAGTCATTATGCTAAACGGAAAACCATTCATTGTACGTCAGAATCTGCACGACTTTCTACATGCGGTCTCCACAGAGCATCATATGTCGCACTTCACAAAAGAAAATTATTGGATCGATGCCTTGTGTATAAACCAATTCGACAACTCAGAGAGAAATTACCAGGTTGCTCAAATGGGCAAAATCTACGCCAACGCATGGCGCGTCCACATATGGCTCGGGAAGACGTCGGACGCTGGTCAGATAGCCGAAGTATTTGCGAAAGAATTTGCTCCCTCCTACTACAATCCCGGCGCAGTTGTTGATCTGCGGAGAAAGACCGAGCTTGTAACGAGATATGTTTTGCATAATGACTATTGGAACCGGGCTTGGGTCATACAAGAGATCATCCTAGCAAACAGCGTCATCATATCACTGGACGCCACAACACTTCCGCTGCGACATTTCTGCGAAAGAATACATCAGATTCCTGTCTACATCTGGCAGACACCATTCGAACAATTCGATACGCTCGGAAGTCATGATGGGCACGCAGTTCTGCGCGGCAAGAGTCTCCTCTTATTGTTGCACTGGTTCCGTGACAAACAATGTTCGATACCCCATGATCGCGTTTTCGCTCTACTAGGAATTTGCCACGAATCAGATAAGCTAGAGGTTGACTACGAGATGCGCTTGTCAGATCTGGCATTCCATATTCTCAGACATCCAAACGAGCTGTGCATTTGCGTAGCAGCTTTGGTCGCAAGAAGTCTTACACCTGCTCCCAATCAGAATGCTGCCGAACCGCAAACTTCTACGCGGCGATTGATGTTGTCATTCGCAGGAGACCATATTGGTACATACTCCTCTGAATCGATTCGTTATTTGCGTCCCCGTTCCGATACTGTACCCCTATCGTCTCGAATACAGTATGAATGCTTCCGATACCTAGTACAGGAGTTTGGGAGACTGTTCCGGCAAAGTTCACTTGGAGATTACATACAACAGCGTCATATGGGCCCAGTTCCGTTCGTTCACGCAGTGCGCGAGGTCCTGATGCAAGAGCCGAATGGGCTACGTTTGAAGAGTGACCCTAACGATAAGTCATACCGTTGGTATGTAGACAGCGAAGGATGGAGCGTTGGTATCTGTGACAGGGATCCCCAATTCTGTCGTGTGCGCATTGCCTTTGATCGGTTGCGAGATGTATTCCGTTGGGACGATGTATGTATCTTTCCAAAAAGGAACTTCCTCAATCTCGAGAAAGCTGGAAACCCCCGCAAGTCACCCCAGCCACCCTTAGAGCCGGCACCTCCTGCAACTTCCATTTTGGAGGATATTGAACGCTTCGATAAAAACAGCCTGTTTATGATGGAATGGGAGAACTTCGTGGACGAAGGCTGATCACCTACGATACAGATGAAGATCAATTTATGTTATCAAAGAGAAAGTTATGTATTAAATGAAATTGTCTCCATACGAGGATTCTTATAGTACTAAGGGTTTTGGGAGTTGTGCAGCTCAAAGTTTTGCCTTCTCCACCCTCGAAGCTGGATGCCTCTCGTCAATCCTCGGCAACTTATCACTCCAAGTCCGCCCATTTCGCATGAACACTCTCCTCCAGTCCGTTGGATTAAGCGGCGCCTGATCCCACCTCCTCCCTCTCTCCCTCTTCGCGTTGACCTTCGCTCTCTTTCCTTCCGCAATCCCACTAGCAGCCGCAACTTTCCTCCCCCTCTCCGCACCAAAGTTACTGGGAATCGCTTGACTGAACTCCTTTGCACTGACCTCCAATAGCGCTTCCGTATCGGCTTTGATACGGTCTGCAAGCAGACGGAGAGATGATTCGGCACAGTGCGAAGCAGCGCGGCGTTGCCAGTATTCGAGAAATCGGTAGCCGTGGCCGAGCATGCCGCACATGGCGCCTGCTGAATGCAGGAAATGGCCGTTGCCGAAGGAGTCGCCTGCTACGATGCCGTTTGTGGCGATACGTGCGTCGGTACCAATGCGCTCGACGAGGCTGAAAGGTTTGGGGCCATATACCATGGCTACACGGCGGAGTTCGTCGGGTGAGATTTCAAGGACGAGAGAAGCTTGCGAGATGTAGTAGTCGTACAGCAAGAATTGATATGCTGCAAAGTACTCCGCGGAATCTTTACTGGTATCAGCGCTGACGAGGCCGCGTTCGACGGGACATAAAGATATATGTTCAGGAACCTCGACAATGGTCCAGGCTACTCGCGGATCGCCTTCGTGGCCAACCGTGATCTGTCGAACCCAAGACTCGTTGCCGTGTTGGTCGAATTCCGAAGCGATGCGGCGGCGTAATCGTCCGTCTACAAGAATGTTGAACTGTCCAGCAACGAAATCTGCCTGGGCTACTTTGGCGCCTTGACCGTCGCCGTGGTCAACGTGAACGTCGTGTTGTTGGAAGCCCAGTTGCTCCGCTTCACGGCAGTTGATACCCGTTGCAATGCTGAAAAGCTCTGGTACACCAAGGTCGATGAAGTCACTTCCCGGTGTGCGGATACGTTGAAGGTCATTATGATATTGGACTTCAGTGACCTCTTCGATTCGGATCTGGACTCTGCCGCAAGGAAGGTGGACTAGACCGCTTCCATCCTGTACCACACGGTGTTTGGTAAACAGACGACATCTGGGCGTCTTGCCAGCGTTAAGATCAATCTTCTCCAGTGCCTCGAGGTAGCGACGAAGAAGAAGTTGGATCGAGAACGCTGCGGCCTGAAAGGTTGAAGGGCCATCGAGGACCTCTCGCAAATCTGTCCGGATCTTGGTCGGACATGGATGTTCTGGAATATTTGGCGGAGGTACAGTGGTAACTGTGCGATGAGGTTTGCCATCTTTCCAACGATCGTCGATGTATTCGATGTTGTGAATCTCACCAACCATGTGTAATTCCTTCTCGTATCCCTCAATGATGGCTCCTGGTATGATATCTCGAGACTTCGTCATTGGATGGTAGAAGAGATCTGCCAAGCTTAGTAGCGATCCATCTAGTCTTTTCGGTAGATTGTCCAGTCCGTATCGATCCAACATCATCTTGTCGATAAGCCCCAGCTGATGATACATATCTTGACGGATGTTCCAGTGCACTCCCAGAAATGGATCACCGCGGAGGTCGACACCAACGGCGCGGCGGCCCATGGCTATCGTCCAGAGCATTGCTAGCATGTTTGTGCCTCCAAGGCCGATTGCAACGAAGTCGGCATCTTTGACTCCTGAAAGTGTGGTAGAGCGACTGCCGCCTGGAATCTTGACGTTCTGCGTCCGCTCTTGGGCCAGATACCTGGTCGTTGAGTAGATGTTGCTGTTGCTGGAAGTCATGAGGGCTACTATGTAACTTCGAATGGAGTCGAGGAACAGATTCAAGACGGGCACGGCGCTTCTTCAAAGAATGCGAAAAGTGACATACTCGCCGGCCCATCGGTTGCGGAACGGGGCGTTTAGATTGCAGAGGTGACTTACCGTTATCGTACGTCTACCCCGTCAGGACCCTGGAAGGCTGCCATGCTGAGTCTAGGTTCCCCACAGTCGCTAACTCAAGACGAACTACTTTCAGTCGCATCTACCCATCGACTTGGCCGCGTGGGGCGGAGGGTCGTAACATGATGATTATTGGCGCAACGATGTTTTAATCCCGACAAGCGTGAATCCTTCTATGCGTGCTGCTGCAAAGTTATGTGGCTCCTGCGGTGCGATGGGTCTTCCATGATGCCCCAGATCAAGATGGTGCTGCCATTCTATTTCGAGTCTGTGTAAGAGTAACTATTGCGATACGTTATCGATATCTCGATGCCAGCCTTCACGAACTAAGAACATGTATCGCACTAAAAAATGGTAGCTAGATTGCTGTACCGCTACGAACGTGCCTTCCTATTACACCCAGGCGGTCGGATTGGTAGCAGGGTGCGAAGGGTAAGCGGGGTATCATAAGCTACGTGCCATCAACAGAGGAAGCATTTCCGGGGCGGTCTTGTTTCTTTCCTCGGACGCGGGCTATGTAGCGCGACGTGTTCACGGCCAACCCGCTCAAGATAGGCTCGAAGCAAGTGGGTACTCTGCTCAGGACCTGCGTGCCGTCTGGAGCGAAGCTTGAACACGAACGTACATGCGCAGTAAGCGGCATGCGCGGCAATCAATGCATCGTGAATATGGCAAGCTTACGGAGGTCTAGGCCAACTGGTCGCGTCCCGTGTGGTGAGCATAAGCAGATGTTCGTAGATGCGCTGCGATGGGAGTGGGTTCAAGAACGGTCGCTTTATGTGGTTGCAGCAAGGCGTAAGTGGACGAAGGAATGAGGCTCATCGGAGACAGCGAATAGTGGAAGATGTGCAAGGCTTGGCAATACACGCACGGAACGCGCCATTAGCCGGCGCTAATCTCCGACACCAAGCGCGACTCTAGACTGAAGTCAACCCTTTCGACCCAACATCTTCTTTCACAGTTCGTCTCAAATACGTGTTGTAATGCGTGACCATGTACTCAGAACATCCTTCAAAACGTTTTGAACAACTGCGACTGCCATATTCGCGGCCGAGCGCGTTATGCCAATTCAGCACAATGACGCATATTTGTCCCCAGACGCGCTTGCCTATCGTCGTATAAACCGGCGATACCTCAACCATGCCACTAGGTACCATAACAGCTTGCAAGGTCGTGCATAGTTGTGATCACCGTAACCACGAACGCCATCGTACTCCCATATCCGTCCTCGAATCGCTGTGACCCATAGCTGGCCAGCCGCTTGCGGTTCTCACAAGAACGAGGGAGCTTAGTACTCTGAAGGGGATTGGGAGAACGGATAGGAAGTGAGATGATCGGGACTTACGCCTGAATCTTCGTAAGCTGTCACGATTGACCTTAGCCTCCCGCACACACCCTTCGCGGTTTTCAGAGGGAACTATGGCCAAGATCAAGCTCACTTACTACCCAGTGCTATAGATTTCTAATACCTTCTATTTTCGAGGAATCGCGATCATACCTCCGAATCTGTGCAGCAGCACCACGCCCGCCGATCGACCTCAAGACTTACCTCGCCTTCGGAGATATACGAATCTATTAGCATCATTTCAACTCCTTCACAAGCCCGCCACTATCGTATCAATGTTGCGAACCGATAGACTCTTGCCGGGCACAGCTCTATCGCCGAATAAACGTTCATGAGTAAGGCGATGCCTGACTCCTCGATATCACGATCGACGAGATGAAATCGATTCTCAGAACTTGTGATTCCTCCGAACGCCTCATGGACCAGAACGTCTAGACACTGGATGCAGTTTTGCATCACCCGCAATACACGGAACCACAATATACCGATATGGAGCAATGAGTATGACAGTTTCATACGCCGATTTGGCTGGTATTGCAACAGTCCGTCCCATTACCCGGGCCACGATTCGCGGGTTATAATATTGTTATAAGTCAAAACTTCATCTTGTTCTACGAGCGCATGTGCACACGGCATCCATCTCCCGAAGCGACCACTAGTGTCAGGATCTGCTTTTCCTTTCCGACCGCGACAACAGGATCATCTTGCGGAACAGTCAAGAAAGGGAATTTTTGCACCAGTCTCGCCACAGTGTATCCTGCTTCTAAGAGAGCGAACTCTTGGCCTAGACATACTCGTGGCCCTCCATTGAAGGGTAGATACCCGTAACCCACATCGCGCAACAGCGTTCCATCTTCCCACCTCTCGGGGCGGAAATCGAGTGCGTCTTCTCCGTAAATGTCCGTGCGGCGATGCATAGCATATACGCAATAACCGACGGCCTCGCCCTTTCTTACCAATATTGGGGACTGACCATCCGGGCCTCCTCCAACAGGAAGCGTTGTTGTCTTGAGTGCTGCGCGAGAATTTACCGGCACCGATGGGTAGAGGCGAAGTACTTCTTTCAGAACCAGATCGAGGTATCTCATCTTCTTCAGATCCACTCGAGTTGGCTGAGACGCATTTTCTCCAAGGCCCACCACTTCATCGATCTCCTTACGTAGTCTCTCCAGAACCTGAGGATGTCGAGCCAGCAAGCGCAAAGTCCAGCTGAGGCAACATGCGGTCGTATCCCTGCCCGCCAGGAGAACGTTCAAGCACTGATCGCGGAGTTCTTTCTTGTTCCGAGTCTCCTGGATGAGCGCGTCGATGAACACGTAGCTCTTCTTATCCTCGTCTTCTGTTTTCTCAGGCTCTGACTTATCCGCATTTTCCAGTGCGTCCTGGATTGCGTCGTCGACGAAGCGATGCGAAGTCTTGCAAGCCCGCCAGAACTCGGGAGTATTGGCCAGCCAGTACAAGTCTCCCAAACGGCCACGATGTGATAAGTAGTCCTGGCCTAAGTTGAAAGCTGCCGCAAATTCTGATTCCTTGCCAGCGATATCGCTGCTTTGCAAAGAGCTTAGTGTCTTTCCAAAGAGAAGGAATGTAGTCGTATCGAAAGTCAAACGGAAGAATAGCGGCTGCAGATCCACGACGCTGTTGGGAGAAATTTGATCCGTGAGGCTCTCCACCGATTTCTTCATCTCCTCAAAATTCTGATAGCGGTTGGACGTAAATTGAGGCCGTAGAAGTGCCCGCGAATGCCTCCACGCTGCACCATCTTGGGTAAAAATGCCACTTCCCATCAATGGAGCAAAATGCTTGGGTCGAAGCCCAAGGCTGAAGTCTGCGGTAAGTGTCAGTGCATGTCGGCATCCAAGGGGGAAATGGACTGCAAACCCTCAAACTGTGCGGAAAGAACCTCCTCAATGTTGCGCGGCTCTACTGTATTGATGCCACGAGCTCCAACTGTGACTCGTCAGTTCCAAAGGCTCCGTTCTCCGCCGAGACACCTACGCAATTGTTGCTCATGAGTAGGACCACTGGACTCCACTACGTCCAAGAAGAACTGAAGGATAGTCTGCGCTCTTGCGTGTTGCCCAACCCTGAGAAGCAGATCCAGACCTTCCGGCCACTTCGCTGCCCATCTCCGTGGTGCTTTGCATCCCATTTGCGCTGCATATTGGTCTTCTTCCTACCCCATGTCAGCAACAGTACGATGGAATGACTCGGGCGTGCGTACCCTACGGATGACCTGGCGTTTCCAGATCTTGTAGCCTACAAGGCTAAGAACGACTAGAAGTAAGGCTATACTTTTGGACGCTGTTTTGCCTCTAACATCAACGTATGATATGTCCATGGCCGCAAATCCGTCGCCCGCTCAACGATAGCGATGTGTAGAGTTGCTTTGCGGCAGAGCGCGGTTGGTGTGAGAACGTCGAAACAAGGCTTCTGCTATTGTAAATCCGCCCCCAAATTGAAGGGAATAACAGTCTCAGCCCAGTTGTACCGCAGTGGTTCACCTTCCCTATCAGCGCATGAGACTGATCGAATGTGGCAGATTGGGGGCCGTCACATGCGGGCGCTAAGCCTCGTAGCGCACCAATGACATGACGCTAGTCAAGCCATCGGTTGCGCCTTCGGTTACGGTTGGCTCGCAACGCGTCTTACGTCGGCTCTGCCTTGTGCAATGTCACATCCGCACCCTCTTACAGTTTGCCTGATGCCTCCCTCGACGGCTATCGGCTGAGTGCGTCGTCATCCAAGAAGATGGAGGCTCTTCTCCGCATGCATGTTTGCGACTCCAGCCGCTTTTTTGCCCTTTTGTCAGCGAAAGAGAACCCCTGTTGCAGCCGACTGGGGTCATCGAGAAAGGCTATTGCGTTCTGTGTTATACGACGGCTTCTCTGTTCAGTGCGACATTCTCGATCTGCTTTCTGACGATATTGCATTCTATTGCGTGTCTCAACTATCTCCACGGCCTTCGCACGAGCAATCCCGCCTCCCTTTGTCGCATGGCGACTGGTCATGAGATAACCTTGAATCATGGCTGATCCTGTTTCGCTGGTGGCTGCGGGGATAGGAATTGCTGATGTTGCATTTCGACTTGTCAAGTATCTCAAAGATATCAAAGCAGCAGCTAAGACCATTGACGAGGACATCGAAGGTTTAATCAATGAGGTCGAAGGTCTACAAAAGGTGCACGGTCACCTCGAAAAGGAGTACCTTAAGAATGTCACCAACGTTGAGATGGGGGATGACGAAAGGAGCCTTTGGACCAGCACTGGACAGACTCTCAAAAATGGACAGAAGCTTACCGAGAAACTCGAGGCTTCGGTGAAGTCCATATACGGCGATCACAGGCTGGCGACTGGCAGGTTCGATAGCTTGGACAAGTCGCGGAGGAAGAAAAGCAAAGACAGCATGATTTCTGGACTTAGAGATCAGATCAACACATACCAGGGAGCCTTGCAAATGCTGCTCGGCTTTATTTCAATGCAAGTTGATCTGCTAATCAAGAAGCTACCACTGACTCATATGCAGGCAGTCTGCTCGTCAAAACCATGAGGATCAAAATGCTCAGTTGGAGCAGTTGGTTGCCGATCTTCGAGACCTAAAGAATCGAATGGAGCAAGCGCAGCACTCATCGCTGCCTCCATACGAGACCATAGCCAACACGACGGAGTATCGCGACTTCAACATAGAATCGGTGTCAGTTGTGAACCAGCTCGGTATTGCAATCAATAACATTGCGCACAATCCAAAGACCGATGCCTCGATGACGAACGAACATTTCGATATTCCCAAGCCCGTTGATCCATTCTATACTGGTCGTGAGGATTATGCAGAACGCTTGCGAAGCTGGTTCTTACCAGCTCCTTCTCGGAAGCAACGGGGTGAAAAGATCGCAAAGGCAGAGCAAAAGCGCTTCGTTGTATACGGGCTTGGAGGCGCAGGAAAGACGCAGTTCTGCTCCAAGTTTGCTCAAGACAATCGACAATAGTGAGTTGTTATATGGCACCAAGTTTATATACTGCTGCTGACAGGTTACCTCTAGCTTCTGGGGCGTCTTTTGGGTAGACGGCAGTAGCCCATCGCGGTTGAAACAGACCTTCTCCCAGAATGTATCAAAGATCGGAAAAGTGGACCTTAACGAGAACGCTGCGCTTCATTGGTTATCTAACCTCAGTTTTCCTTGGCTTCTTATCATCGACAACGCCGACGACCCCGACCTCAAGCTTGCCAACTATTTTCCACGAGGGAACCGAGGTCACGTTCTTGTCACAACCCGCGATCCCGGAAAAAAGGCTTACGGTACAGCTGGTGAAAAATACTTCGAGTTCCAAGGACTGAGTACGAGCGATGCAAGCAGTCTACTTCTGAAAGCAGCCGGCCAGTCAGAACCATGGGACACGGTCGTATCCAGCATCGCTTTATCCATTGCCAAAGCGCTTGGTTATCTTGCATTGGCTATCACGCATGCAGGTCGGGCTATCCGTGAAGAGTATTGCAGGCTTAGCGAATATCTACACTACTACGAGCGCCAATGGGAACTGACAAGGCAAAACAGACTTCCAGTGAAAGACAAAGACGCCGCTGACGAGCTGAGCGTCTTTTCGACGTTTGAACTGAATCGAGAAGCTATCGAGAAGCGAGGAACTAGAGCGTCTCGGGACGCACTCCAGTTGCTTGACACATTCGCATTTCTCCACAACCAGGACATTCGATACGACCTACTGAAGCGAGCTGTCGAGAACGCCCAGGTCGAACACCAGAAAGAAGTTGAAGACAAGATCAATGAACGCCAGTCTAAGGATGCTAAGCCCATACGCGACTGGTCAACGTGGTGCAAAGAAACTGCTTTCCTGGTTCTTGCATATTTCTACCAGAATCGTAGTCCACCCGTCCTTCCGGTTGTAGGTCGTCCCATCGTTTGTTCCCCTAAGATTAATTCTAATCCACCACAGATCATCCGAGATGGGCGAAATACGAGGAATTTCGATGAGGATCGACTGCGCATAGCTTTACGGCAGCTGATCCAGTTCTCACTTATAATCAAAGGCCAAAATGGCGACAGCTACTCTATGCACCCTCTTGTGCACAAGTGGGCCCGCGAGCGACCTGGCATGAGTGTTGCAGCGCAAGCAGTTTGGTCTCAAGCCGCCGCAATGCTACTATCACATTGCATCCTCATTCCGCCGCTTGGTAATACAGAAGAAGAGGAAGACGTTCGGAAATATATCCTGCCTCATGTCGACCATGTACGCCAATGTCAGCAATCTATAGAGCAACGCATGAGAGACAAACGCATGGCAAGAATGAATCCATTGCCAGTTTTTGAAGGTGGTTTCGATAGGGACAAAGCTATCACATATGCCAAGTTCAGCTTGGTGTACATGCAGAATGGACGGTGGGAGGAGGCTAGGCGACTGCAGACTGCAGTCAAAGATTTCACGACTCAGATCCTGGGCCTGAAGCACCCTATTACTCGTCGTGTTACCCGTCTACTGGCCACAACCCTGTACAATCTCGGACAAAGTGAGGACTCGGCCAAACTAGAAAAGGAAGTCCTAGACGCATGTGTGTTATACCTAGGTGCTGATCACCGAGAGACACTGGTTGCCAAGTTTAACCTTGGCAAATCGGTCTTCTTACAAGGCAAATTTAGCCAGGCGAAACTTCTTCAAGAAGAAGCGGTCGAGGGTCTGACTAGGCTGATTGGTCTCGACCAAGAAGACACCCTAGATGCGATTGACTGGCTTGGCCGGACTCTGCTCATGTTCTTCACCGAAGAGCATGTGAATCGAGCCCGTCAACTTTTTATCACAGCATCGGAAGGCATGAAGAGGGTGCACGGCGATGAACACACACGCACCCTCGAAGCACGTGAGCACCTTTGTAGTTCCGCCACCAAGACGGGAAACAAGCAACATCTGGACGAAGCGCATGATATGATGATCAAGATTTTGGAAACCCGGAAGGAAAAACTTGGCAAGGAGCATGCATACACATTACTTGCGATGGTGAACCTCGCTCTTGTGAAATGCAAGATGGGTATGATTCATGAAGCTGAAGCACTCATCCAACATGGCCTACCTATCGCCGCACGCAATCTAACCGAAGGTCACATAGCTTATCTCTGGGGTCGTTATCATCTTGGCCGAATTTGGGTGCTTCAAGAAAGATGGGCCGAGGCAGAGACATACCTGGTTGATGTTACTGAGCGACAGCGTTACACATTGCAAGGAAGAGGCGAGTTTCATCCTGATAGGATCGGCGGTCTGATAGAGCTAGCCACAGTCTACAACGCGCTCGGGAAAGTTGAAGAATGCGAGAGAGTGACAGAAGAAGCTTTGGCTGCACTAGCAAAGATATCTACGACTGAACATCCGGAGGCAAAAAAGTTGAAGGAGAACAGAGACATGTGGAGGCAACGGAGAAAAGATAGCATGGCAGTTCCACCGCGGATCGACAGACCACAAGACATTGAGCAGCGCATTCAGATTGGACACATCCACCGGTCATCGACATTGTAGTTATTCAACTACAAAACGAAGCTCATCTCCGATGTTTAGGTAGAGGATCATATGTCTCAATGCTTGAGTTCCAGCGGAGGAAGCTTCGAGGTGATCGTCAGTTTTGCTGCCATTCGCGTTGTTTGACTGGGTTATACCTAGCCGCCTTTGCGACTCTCCAGACTCCATCTTCGCCTTTTGCCTCGCCCGTCCGTAACCAGGGCGTTGCTCCGGGTTGATCGACATACTTTCAACCACTGCTTGGTGTGCATTAAAGTACAGCGCGTTGAAGCCTAGGATGTCGGAAGGGGTGAATGTGTTAACGGCTGCGAATCGAGAAGAGTTTCGATGCTGTGTTCGTAAGTCTCATCAGATCCTTCTTTGATAAGCGTGGTACGCGCCATGTTCTGTGTCCGAGAAGCCCTTGATACTCCAATCCGTGCGTCCTTACAAGGTGTATGTGTATCTGGCCTGATCGTTGCGACGGAGTCGCAGTCAGCAAAAAGAGGTTTCGGGTAGGCCAAGTAGGGTACCTGGGTCGTATCAAGAGACACGTTCTCCAGCTCGATAACCGAGCTTAGCCGCGCGCGATGGGGAGAGTTGTCTCCGAAACACCATCAAGTAAGTACAACAGTCATTGCCTGTAGTAAGGCTCTCAATATTTTATCTCTCGTTGTACTTATTGCATGAGCAATTTGGTGATGCTAGAGGGCGGTCGCGCTAACTGGGTATCCGCAGACTAAAAAAAGACACAACGTACTTGAGCCGAGACCGAGACCGAGAAGCCTCGCACCAGAATTCAAGCTTGCAACCCAGTAGCCTATTGGATGCTCGCGCTTCAAAGCTGCTTGTTATTGTCCGTTTCGCATATCTGGTTTCGAGTGCATGCAGTAAATCATCAGATATTCGTCCGTACGACTGTATTTAATTCGAGATGGCATGTCATTGTTGAGTTCATTGCAACCTTGTTGTTCAAGTCCTATCTTTCGCGTACCATTTCGAAAGTAAAGAAGATGTCTTATGATACTAAAGACAAAGTCGCCACACTTGCAGTGGAGAAGTACGAGCAACTTGTTCATCTATTTCACAATCATAGTTTGTATTTGCTAACCTTATCTATTTCCAGTTCAGAATTGGCAGCTGTAAGAGTCTTGTCGGGATGCCAGTACGTTCCTTAACAACGACGCAGTATAAGCAGAAACATAACATCGATGGGCTAGAGAACCTCAACAACTTTCTCTCTAAATTGCCACCTCCTGATCCCACCCTTGACCAGGGAGAAGTCGTTGATATCCCTCTCCGAGACGGCACAGCCTCGCAGATTCGCATCTTTCGCCCTAAAGTCGCATCAACACAGCCTAAACCTCTAATTGTGCTGATATATGGCGGAGGGTAAGTTCATTGCCCTCTTCCTAACACGTCGGTCAGTCAATAACCACCACAACCAGGTTCATCGTAGGTGACAACACTCAGCTGAGCTCAGTATCTCGTGTCCTTGCGAACCTCTACTCAGCTGTAGCGGTAAACATTTCCTATCGCCTGGCACCAACTCATAAATTTCCCACAGCTGCCCACGATGCTTACGATAGCGTTCGATGGCTTTCCCAAAATACCAACGCGCTCGGCGCCGACCTGTCTAAAGGTTTTGTTCTACTGGGCGCTTCTGCAGGTGCCAATCTTGCAGCGGTCATTGCTCAGAAGTGGTTTTCCAGTAAATTATCACCACCCATCACCGGCCTCTCTCTCGCTATACCATGGCTGCTGTCCGAGGAGATCGTGCCGCAGGCCTACAAGAACCTCTGGTTCTCTAGGGATCAAAACGAGAACGCCATGATTCTGAACAAGGGTACGATAGGTTATATGCTGGCTGCGTACCAGCCTGATGTGCATTCCGCGGACTTCTCTCCTTTTAATCACACTGCACCTCATAGTGGAATGCCACCAGTTTACATCCAGGTGTGCGGTGCGGACCCGTTGAGGGACGACGGGCTTATCTACGAACAAGTACTACGATATTTTGGAGTGAAGACGAAGCTGGATGTTTACCCCGGTGTTCCACATGGTTTTAGCGTTTTTTGGGAGATGGAACTGGCGAAGAAGTCCTTCTCAGACCAGATCTTGGCGATTGGATGGCTTCTGGGTGTGGAGAAGACTAGGGAAGACGTGGAGCGGTCGAATCAGAGAATTTAGATGCGCAAATAGACCTAGTCAGCTACAGTTTTATCACGATATGTAGACGCATCCTTGCCCAGCATCGTGTGGTCCATTGGAAGGCAGTAGTAGGAAATTCAAGCTGTGTCCTTTGACCTCTCATATCATCCTTTTGCAGAAAAACCTCAAAGAGCTATACACGTGCTAAGATATCTAGATTCAGCCGTCCTCGCCGAATCTCGATTACCAATTGAAATCGAAATAGGTGTAGCTACCTTGATTGGAATGCAATGGCGCAGTCTGGTATGACAACTTGGAATTAACAACACCTCTCATGTACCTCTCGACCACCCAAGGCCCTCAAGATGATGGCATCCTCTTCGCTACGTTCTCCTCCGCCATCCGGATGATCTCGCTCAATGCTACCATCACATGTCCTTCACCCCCTCAACCACCAAATCTTCTAGTACCTTGAGATCTTGCTTGATAACCTTCTCTCCATGGTGAAACGCGTTGAATATATGATAGTGCAACGGCAGAGCACTATCTACTGGGCCCATGATCATCTTTACTGTCGCCCAAGACCCTATCAGCCAAGACAACAGCCATCCCATTAATCCGAACCGCGACAGGGTCAGTATCTCGTGCTGCGCCTGGAGCATGAGATTCCACAGGCCCTTATTGTTTCGGAAGTGCTCAAACGGTTGGAAGCCATGTATACACCAACTGATCAACTGTAGCATACCCAATAGTGTACCGGACGACCCAACGAAACCTGGTACTGTTTGGATGCGGAGCTTCTCGTGCTTGCTATACACTTCGCCTAATGCTTTCGTAAGCTTTGCTTGTGAATTGAAGACGATCAAGCCGTAATTGCCGCGATTGTACGAGTAAAGAATATCGGCTTGAGCTGCCAAGTTGGCATCCGCGGACTCGGATAGAGGGATGCTCTTTGTCGGCTGATGTGCGAGCATACTTCCCACCAAAGTAAGCCGATCTCTCTGTATTCCCATTATGTTGACGTAGTGGTCTGTCATGTCAAGGCCAATGGCACTGTATGCAACAAACGTCGTTGGATGGTTGCAGATCAGTTCACCCACAGCCTTCAATGTTGACATGCCACCTTCTGAGCGCGCTGTACATCCGTCCATTGTGTCCAAGATGCAGTAAAAGTCCTCGCCAGTAACTTCGCTTGGCGATTCAATGACCCGATAGTCGTCAAAGATTCGCAGTGCATTATCTTTGTAGTCGTAGCGCTTCTTTGGCGACTGGAAGGCAGAAATACGCCCAGGTCGTACCAGATATGTTATCTAAGTGCCGAATGAGAGATGATAACCTTGCGAAAGACCAACAGCGCCGCAGCCGATGATTAGGATCTTAGGTATACCCATTCTGAGATTGAGTGAGCATCGCAATGTATGTGTGTGCTGGAGAACGGAGCGGGCAGTGGGTCAGGCATAAGTCTCGAGCATGTGACTGTGATCGTGGTTTGTCCGCGTCGGAAAGAGCCACTAGAAATCTGTCTCCCTGCATTCCGCACGTAGACGAAGGTGCGTAATATAAAGCTGCCTTGTGTCGATGGACAAATTCGTCCGTCTTTGTATGAACTTGGTGTTATCGGCGACATCCAGCACGGGAAGCGGCGACTCTTACGGACACACTCGCACTCGTTCTCGCAGTCGCATTCTCCATCGATCTATTCCCTTTCCAGTAACGGCGCGGCTTCGAGATCGAATTTCCTGACAGCGGCTTCCAGCACAGCGACCAATGCATAGGGAACCATGAAATGTGGGTAATTCTCAAACCGAGTGTGGTGAGCCGTACCCTCATGATTCTGCCGACTGGGGGATACGCCCAGTAGATATGATGGGCCGCATTTTTGCGCGGATGTCTCGCTGAAAAGCTGCTCAAGGTTGTGGAAACTTGTCTTGCCGGCTGTATTGACTTGTCGCGTCAGGTTGACGGATATCGCAGATTGACGCGCTTCTTACGCGCGTGACGTCATTTCACTCTCCTGACGCGAGGCGGTCCTCTCTGGCTAGCAGCGATACTTCTCACAACACTACCTTAACAACAGCGACACCTTAAATGATCCGCCTCATCCACGAAGCAGACCACGAGCCATTCACGACATAATGTGCTGCGTCTGAACACTCGCGAACACGTCATGACATCCACACCTGTAGTATGAATCTATGATGCCTCTCCATCTATCGTCGTAAGAAAGATGCGCCAAACGACGCATCAAACCTCAATGAACTCGGGACATGATGGGGTCCAGGGTAGGTAACGCCTCCTAAATTAGGGCAAAGAACGATAGGAGAGGGCAGGTAACGACGCATCACTCGTACCTGCTACTGCAACAGATGGAAACCCATCACATTGTCTGAGCAATGTCGTGACCATGTCACTATAAACCCGCACTGCTTCTTCCTTATCCGAAATTTTTCGAGATCTACCTACCTACGCTCTGCCGCTATTCATATCATCCCTGTTGCTCACCTTGTCCAGTGAAATGCGATGCCGCCTTTGTCGAGCGATGGGTACTTTGTACGTCACCGATGGAGAGGGTTGGGCGGCACAAACCTGGCCATCATGCTGAGAAGAACAGATGGGGCCACGCGACCTAAGCCATCACTCAAAACTACCAATGATGTTGCGACTTCATGGTAGCATCACACCTAAACTCGTCATTCCGATTATGCTTGTGGGTGGTTGGGTCACTGCAATTACGTGCATCTCAAAGCTTGTATACGACCGTAAGCAGTTTCTTTGTTCTTTCGATATGTTTTTACCTGGACTAACAATACGCAGTCGGCACCGATCGAGTTTTCATTACCGTGCTGGGCTTCGTTGTGAGTCTAGCACTCGGCGTCCGCAGTTCCACCTCTATGAACCGATACTTCCAAGGCCGACAACTTCGGGGACGTCTTCGCCTCGCATCGCATATACTGGCGCGTTTGGTTCGGATACACGTGGAAGACAGACATGGCTTCGATGTTGAACTGAGAAAGCAGGATCTGCTCGGCAAGGTCAGCTGCTTGAACGTGATCGTGGCTTTTGCTGTCGCATTGAAGCAAAAATTGCGTTTCGAGCCAGGAACACACTACGATGATCTCAAGCACTTAGTTGGCCATCTGGACACGTTCGCGCGAGGAGCAAATATGCCCGCGCCCGACCCTCCGAGCGCTTTCAGGCGGGCTTGCCAGCTCCTCGGCATACCGATGGCAACACCAAACCCACGCAGACATGTCAAGAAATCGGCCGTTCCTCTTGGAGACCTACCCCTCGAGATCCTATCTCACCTCTCCGTCTATATCAAAGTCCTATACGACACGGGCACACTGAGAGATGACAGCATTAATCAAACCCAGAGCCTCGACTCACTAACAATCATGGACGAGGCATTGTGCGGCACCGAGAGAATCTTGAACACACCCCTTCCGCTAGCATACTCCATCGCGATAGCTCAAGTCACCTGGTTATACATACTGTTGCTGCCTTTCCAGTGCTTCAACATTTTAGGCTGGATCACCATCCCTGCATGCATAGTCGCAGCGTACATCATCTTGGGTATCGCTTCCATCGGTCGTGAGATCGAGGATCCCTTCGGCCACGATGTCAACGACCTGCCACTCGATGTCTTCTGCCAGCAAATCCGTCAAGACATCGATATCATCATGTCGCGCGCTGCACCTCTCGCCAACGACTTCATGGGCCGTAAAGAGAACATGCCATTATATCCACTTTCGTATCTGAGCACGCGAGCATGGGCAGATAAGTCGCCAGAGGAGATACACTTTGCTTTATTGCAAAGAGTCGCCCTCCACTACCCCATGGTTGAGCATGGCGAAAATCCTGCGCCGCCTGCGCAAGGTCGTTTATGTGGCGTGGAATGTTGGGCTGAGAAAGGCGCGCCGGGACCGAAGGAGACGACTGGCAACTACAGGAGAAAGTACGGAAGTGTGTAGTTGTCTAACATCTAGGCACTAAAGACACTTACCTCTGTTTTGCTACTTACAGCTGATCTTCAAGCCATGATCCTGCTCTAACCACGGTCCTCAGCCTCTCAACGGACCCTTCTTCCATGCCTCCCCCATACCACCCAACCCTCCAATGTTCGTCAGCAGCGTCTCCAAATTCCACGCCTCCCTTTCCTCTCCGATGCCCAAGAATCCCAGGTCTGCCAACAGCCTATGCGTCTTCTTACCGTACATTTCCGCTCTCCCTTTATCCCCCTTCTCCAACCATAGCATCGCCAACATGGCGTACTCATCAGTCAACATGGACCAAATCCCCTCTTCCTTGATCATCTCCACAGATTCTTCTGCCAGAGATATCGCTTCGGTGAGTTTGTACTCTTGCGCTAGTTCTATGATCTTTTCCTCGGCTTGCGCGATCACGGTGCGGCGGAGATCTGAAGCCTGTCGTTCTTGGATAGGGAGGCTACATAGGTCGCATGTGCATTTGAAACCCCAGCGCCGTATTAGAGATTGGCGTTTCGGAGAGGGGAGTCCTAGGAGGAGGTCTAAGTTATATCAGTATGGCTAGTTGGGGGAGTTTGTGGGTATCTTACAGGATACGGTGATTTCCTCGCCAGGTTCGATATCGCGGTAGGCTTTTATGGCCATTGAGACGCCAGCGCGAGAGAAGAGAACGAAGGAATTCGGGTTGCAGGCATGGTTTATTCGCTGGTACGTTCAGTCTCGTGATATCTTGTATACCTCACGTCGTGACTTACTGAAATCAGTGGATATAACGCCTTCGAGCTGACCTCAGCCACCGTACTTCCATAAGAATTTGTCTTCATAATATCATCTTCCAATCTCCCTTCTGTGTCCTGTTCTTCATCACCTTCATTGGCGTCGCCTCTGTTTCCGGCATGCGCAGCACTCATATCTCGAACCATACCCGGCACGAGCAATTGATCCACCGCCCTCTTCAACAACTTCCTGTTCTCCTCATTGGTCAAAGCATTCTCGGCTTCTACATCTACCACAACAGCTGCTTGGTCAATCATGAATGTCTCGTACATCTTGATCTTCCGAGTAGCTACTACGCCTTTCGCTTTCCCAGGTACGTCCACGATCTTCCATGGTTGGCCGCCAAGGTACAGACGTTCAGCGTCTTGCTGCGTTAGGAAACTATTGATTGGGTTGTCGTCGAGATATTTTGTTGCTAAATGTGCGGAAGCTGGGGAGAAGACGAGGGAAAGGCCATGTGGGCCTGTTGTGTTGGATGTATAGACGCAATATTCCTGATCCAGTGTGGTAAGATACGAGCTGGTAATGCAGTATGGCCTGTGTGACCATGGCACATGGTGATGGGTTTCAGCTGAACCGAGGACATGTTGTAGATCTGGTTGCAGGAGGTCATTGATATTGAATACACCTACTGTTGCACTTGCAAGGCCAACCGTGGCTAACGCTGTAACAGCTGCTGAAGCTAGGAAACGAATGTCCATTACGTCGAGTCGCCAGTATGGAGATTTCGAGGAGTGTTCAATCAACAACACCCATGCGAAAACATCACTATGAATACAATCCGATTTCTCTTGGTGTTCGTTACCCTACAGCTCCAGAAGTGGCAGCATACGTCAGGCACCTTTACCCGGAAATTTACCCCAGACATCCCTTACGAACCCAAGAACTTGGGACTTTGTACGGTACATCACGGCAGCCCACTCGCGAATAGAAATCATAGTCGTGTCGACGTCCCTAGTAACGCGCATCCCATAGGCTTGTCGCCTAGAAGTTTAGATGTTGCCATTGAAGAACGCCGTGCCTCTCATATCTAAATCTGACACAATGTTGGTGTCACTCGTAGAGACACATTGTATGCTCTGTATCCAACAAGATAGCAAATTACATTTTTAAGATATTCACTGCTTGTAATCAAGGTCTCCGAAGTCGCACCAGCTCTGCTCCATTTCCGTATGCGAATTCCGAACCTTGCACCCTGTCACTACCTGAAACAACGCAAGCATCCAAGATAAATCCTGCGCCCCGAGCAACGTCATTGCTAATAAGGTTAAATGTCAGTTTGCAGGACTGTTTGAGTTCTCAATAAGAATGCTTACCAGGAAGAGTCTTTGTTACCGTCGGTCGTCAATGCGGCCGTGTTGATCTGGCATTGCAGATAGACGTTGCGGCAGTTGGTCTTGCGGGCGACGGTGTTGATGCATGCAACAGCATCTGTGATCTGTCAAGCAGGGTGATGTCAGTGACTTTCCTCGCCCGGCATCTTGAGTGACTGATTCGTTTCACGTACAAGGCAATCTGTGTTCGCGCTCTCATAGCAGGTAGCGCGCTTCTCGTACAAGCTACGACTGAACTTGGCTATATGTAGATTGGTAAAGGTAAGCTTCCGTTCAGGCACGATGTATGGATCAGAAGGTGGACATACCTGACGGTGAAGAATCGAAGTGTCCACTCTTGAAGGCAACGACGACCTCCTCGGGTGTCATGTTCTCACCATCGGGATTCTCAAGAATACCATCAACCCATTCGGAAAAGGATGTAACTGCCTTGGCAGCAACTACGGCCTGGCCGAGTGCTAGGAGAGAGGCAACGTAAGGGAGGAGTTGGACCATTGTGCTGACAGGTGCTAACTATGAAGGTGTATATCTGTGGATTTCTGTGTAGAGAGATGAAGACAGCGAGCAACCATAGCTACCTACTTATACTGTTGACTTGATCAGAGGAGTGCACGAACACAACGGCAAGCTTTTACTTAGTCCGCGCTTTAGGTCTTTTGATTGGTGGTTTACATGAGAAGCAACGAATTGTGGACTGACGGGTACAAAAGTAAGGACTAAAGGCGGCATTGCTCCTCTTCTTGAGGCTTTGCAGTGGGTTTTGTGGGCGCCTTTGGATGCCTTTGGATGCCTTTGGTTGCCTGATCGTCTCGATGAAACTACCTCGCCGAGGTGGCTGAAGTTCGGCCCGAGCCGCAAGGCGTCACCCGGCCAGGAATACTTAGATACGTTCTTTTCAACTCAGTTCTATCACCCTTAGGTGGTTTGGTTTCTTCTGAACGCATCTGAATACACTGCGTTATAAGTTTCAATGTTCCAAGGTGTCTGGTGTCCGACCCTCGTCCAATCTCGGCCGGAGACTGTCAGGATGCAGGTTTATTCCCACTGCGCCGAGTAGCCGAAAAGGTTAGCCTAATCAACGATAGTTGACTGTGGAGCAAAACAGTGCTCGTACATAATCAATCGATCGTGCTCGCGCGCACATCCAATCGCTCGATTTCTTGGGTAATGCCTCTCCCGCTTCTGTGCAGCGTAGGTACGAAGTCTCACCGCAGCGACAGGACGTTGGTTGCTGACATACATCGGAGTTAATTTATTCTAGCACAACTTCAATGGCTCCTCTATCTTCGACCCACTAAGTTGTAGTAGGAGATGTAGTGCCTATTACTGACTGGCGGAATGAAAAATGCTACACAGCCAAGCTCTGGTTGCCTAACAACAGTGTACCGTTAGCTTACCTCTCGTCAGTTGTCGATTTGACACCCATAGTTTTTGACGGCGTTGGCGTCTACTCTTATAGATTCAAATCCTTCTGGATTGACACATACTGCATGAGCGTTGTCGCCCAGGTAGCGATGTCCTACCAAACTGAAGATTGGCGATGTTAGAAGCGTCGCACGCTGAGGTAGTGAGCTGGCAGAATTACATCGCAAGGGTTGCTCGCTCAACCGTTCCCATTCGTATCCGGAAGGCACCAAAAACAGGTTAGACTGGAGGAACTCATCTTCGAGGATACTTCTATAGATATGTCACCTCTCCCATAAATTCATATCGAGTCTATACGTCCTTTATGACTGTCTACGACTATGTGTAATGGGAACGATAGCAACAGAACCCACGTTAGTCTGCTTGACAATTCTGTTGTACAACGTTCTGTTCGACAAGCAGGATATGGATAGCCGGGCCTTCATCCCAGTCTCAAGCGCGATTTCGCGGTTTTCTAGTAGCAGTTCTGCATGGTGGACTTCCTGGCGTTTTCGCGGATTTCCTAGGTCGCCCACGGGGCCGCTTTGGTTCCGAATCATTTACCGTCTTCGGCTGATGACCACGGGTGCGCTTGTTCTGGATCTGAACCTTACTCGAGACTTTGGTCATCTTAGCGTTTCGCGGTGTTTTTGAATGGCGATTGAGAGCATTGTCTGATATCTTGAGTCTATTCCGCAAACGAGTTCTGGCAGCTTTGGCATTTCTGGCTTCTTTCCATGCTTCTTTGATCTCCAACCATTCCGGGTCAGCTAGATCTGAAATGTCGTCTGTCTGATGTACTAGCGGATCGTGTTCCTCGGAATGTATGAGCCATCTTTCAAGATGTTTGATGACGAATTTGCGATGCTGATTAGCAGCGAAATCATGGATTTGATCGACGAGACATATGAGCTCATACGCCAGCATGAAGTCTGTGACATCGCCACCCCATATGGTTTCCGCGTGCTGTACTCTTATTAGCTCGATGTTATAGCAGAGCGAGACATCTTGGATATACTACTCACACATCCATCCAAGTAATACCATGCTATGTAGACTCTCCAGGATGAGCCACAAGAGGTAAAGCCAAAGAGTTGGTAGTCCTTACTCTCTTTGGACTGGTATCTTGTGACGTCCGAGGGGTCTCGAGCCAGGTCATCAAGCATGGCTAAGTAGACCTGGAAAGCATGGTAAACCTGATCCTCCGCTTGCTCCCAAGCAGATACACGTTTCTTTGCTTCGTATACAGCGAACGGAAATATAAGGTTTGATTCACCCCATAGCCCATCGACTATCAGTCCGCATTGCCTGTCATGCATCTGAAGATCGATACGGGTATCTAATAGAGATTTGTTGGGTTGCATACTGTCGTGGTTAGCTGTACAACCATCCACTTCGCATACGTAACCATGCTTGAGATTTGAGGCATCATAGGTCCTCAGTCCCATAGTAGCATCAGGTATACGTCTTTTGAAAGACCACTTGTTATCTGGGTCTTCTTCGATAAACTCGTATGGTCGCTTGTCCCTGCGATGGAAGTCAGACCTTTCTGCTCCAAAAATGGATGGTAAGTGAGCCAAAGAATGAATACAACATTTCGAATGTGTCATCGTCCCTGATCAAGCTGAATACGTCGCGCCATGCATCTGCTTCCCATTTGGACTCTGAAGCCTCAAATACCCGATTTCGTACAGCTCGCGATTGCAACCTGTGTGCTCGCTTGTCCAGATCTGTAAGCTTCTCTTTGCTTAGTCGGGCCCGGTAGAGTTCACGATCAAGCTCGGGACAGAATTTGCCCATTACTCGTGCCAGCGGTCGAGATGTTGACCATGGTAAAAGTGGGCTGATGGATACGGTTTCGAACGGTTTCGGTATCAATGGTTTGGTGCGTTTACGCCTTGAGAGTGAAGTAATAGATAGTCAGCGATCGATTTGGACTATACTCTCGAGAAACTAACTGTTCTAGTGCCATGACCTGGAAGACCTCGATCTCAATATGTTACTGGTGATTTTACAGTAGAAGATCGGAGATTCTTATACATGTGTTTACAAGGTGGTGAGCATTAGGCAACCGCCAACGCAAAATGCGGAGGCTTATCAGCCATGAAACTGCTTACCACAGCCAAAATCATGCAACTCATCCAACGAGTCTGGACGCGTCATACGTTGTAGCGTAAAAAGGCGCACGTGAATGGATGCATTAAGGCACGTGAATGAATGTCGTATACATCGAATAGAATGCGCAAAATACTGAGACCAATTGGAGATGGACAGTAACACTTACTGTGAGCATGGGGCACGTCGAGATAGATAGATGGAGGGAGGATGAGCGATATGCATGATTCTGTTGTCTCAGATTTGATCCTTCGTAATCACTTTCGTTCGCGTCAGCCAACTACCAGGAGTTTATCCAAGCACGTCATTCTAGAATCAAGGACTCTAGAACCTGCGCGAAACATTGCTACAGATCACTCGCTGATAAGAGCATAATATTGTCAATGTTAGTGCAGACTAGAGGAAGCAAAGACATTTTGCCTAGTTGCATGCATCGAGAGTGTCAAGATCCCTGCTTTGGTCACTCTAGCTTGCAGCAAGATCAGCTCGACCTTTTGTGCAGACGTAGTATTCACACCTCCCTCTTCCCACTAAGACAGGAGGCGTACTTGATGCTTTACGTAAGATCTAGCTGATTTTCGTACAAATTATGTAAAACATGGAGGCTAAAAAGCAAGCCGAATATTCCCACTGTGTGAAACACCTGATCTGCTGTAGTCCATCTGGTGACACACCTAGCGCACGATGTGAAGGACAACGAAAGGAGAGCCTCCATGACTGTGGTGGCGGTATCTACGTCGAACGCGCGTAAGTAGTAAAAGAAGTAAACGATAGAGGAGATCGCCGGACCGAAGATTACGATAAAATAGGTAAGATCCCAAATGAACCGATAAGTTTCCGAATGAAGAGCCTTCCTGAAAGGCTCCAACATGCATCTAGGTACCAGGGGGGCAAGGATCGGCTGTATTACGGACATCTATGATGGTTGTAAGCAACAATGCATGAGGTGCAAGCTGATCACTGACTTACTATTCCATCATAGAGGAATTTCATGAACGATAAAACTGTCTGCAAGTTTTGTTGAAACGTGTGGCGCTTGATTTCAGTCCGCAATCGTGCAAAGGCTCTCGCACTACCCTCGCCATATATGAGCGGCATCTGCACCCCGAAGAAACCCAGGAGACAATATGCCGCGTCCTCTTCGCGTTTTGTCCTCCTATGCATTGTCCAATCTATCCTCTCTTCAACATTGTAGTTGGCAGAGTAGTCGCTGTCCTGTAAGACGTCGATAGGAATGTGCGTTTGACGTGCGATACCCTCTGGAATATTCGCTTTGTCTCCCAGTTCGGTTCCATTTGCAGCGAAGAATACCAGTGTTTCCGGTGCGAGAAGCTCTTGAAAGGTCCAGCCGCGCGTAAACCATCTACTCGATAAGAAAGTGTCTACGGGGATTTCCTGCCATGTGATATCCAAGATGCGACAAGGAACGTCCGAGAGATAGACGTAGCATTTTGTTGAGCCCTTATACCACGCGTACATTGAGTTGATGGCCTCGGAGAGTTCGGCGCCGCTACCCTTGTCGATGCAGCATGTATCAACCCAGAAGAACTTCAATCCATGTCTTGCCGCCTGCGCAGCGCAGAACCGCAGCTATTCGTATCCAAGCTTTGTCTTGCCTTTGCCCTTGCCCTTGTATTTATCTTTGAATGTGACTTCTTCATGATCCGCACCCCAGGTTTGAGAAAGAACCGCATATGGCGGGATGTTATCAAAGTATTCGACCAGGCTGAAGTCGTTGTCGGATGTAGCCTGTAAGAGGCGCATATGAGCGCCTGTGTTGAGAGTTGTAAATAATTATAATGCAGATAGTGCGGCACGCGCATACGCTGAATTACTCTGGAAACAAATGGTACGACATTAATTATAGGAGCCACTGGAATACGTCAGTACAGCAAGGCTGCGCGAGATGCGCGAGGAGATCGTCTCACGTTAGCGCTCGCTTCAGCAGTTTGTCTTCGTGTCAACCATTGTCGTGTGGGCGACCACTCGCTATATCAACGAAGCCCGTATGACATCGGCAGGTTCAACAATAATTAGACCTCAATTACATGCGGAATGAAACAGCTAAAGAAAAAAAGTGGACGCTTATGGTAATTAGAGAACATACCTCGGTATCGCTAAAAGGAAAAGGTTGCAATGCTTGCAACAGGCGAGGTATAGTGTCAAAGTATGACCTCGGTACACCAGATTGTATACATTGAGTCAGAGACATGGGGTACATGTCCTTGCTTGTCGATGTTATGTCGAATGAATTGATAGAGCTGTCTTGAGCTAGCATCAATGTTAGCGCCGCCACCTTCAAATTCGCGTCTTGCTGATACGTCATTTAGCCTTTGCATCATCAACATTTGCTACACATCTTAGAGACTCGAGCTTACTTCGCTGTCATCTTGTTTATTCGGACTAAGAACGCCGAGTTATATTGAAAGATGTTAGAGTGGGCGCCGCCTAGTGAGGGTGAAGCATTACGTGTATCGATTAGCCCTGCCAAATGGTGCGTGGATGTATTAAGCAGCCATCAAACTAGAGTCCCCTGGATCAAAGCAGTCTCGGTTTTCAAGGAAGACAAAAGAAAGAGGCCAAGACATAGCGCAACAGCAAAGTCTTTTCGTCAAACTGAAGCTTCCCACTTTTGCAGAAAGGATGCCGGATGGTGCTCGAAAAGATGTAGGAGAAGCACTCTTGATACTGAGACTTGACTGCACTTTCTTTTCCGGGATGTTCCTAACCTCATCGCTCGGTCTGAACCAGGACTAGGAGTATTGCAGCATATGCTGCAGTAGCAGCAAATGTTTCATGAACGCGCATATTAAGAAAGACTCCAAGACTGACAGCGCACAGCAATGTGAAAAGCATTGTGCTAACGATATCGGCTCTCAAGGTATACCGATTGATGAGAGGACCGCAAAAAAGGATGAAAAGATCCACTATGGGAACCATCTTGGCGAGAAGATGCATGAGTTTCTCGTGCATATTTCGTGTGGTCATGTAATGAGGGAGGTTGTCTTCGAGCAACTTGGAAATGTCAATGGATGGTCCCCAACGTCGTGTCCGTACATACCTGATAAGGCCAGTGGTGACGTATGAACCTTAAAACCGGGTCTTCTGGGATACCTATCGGGTTCTGTTCAAATTGATCGATCTCCTTCTGAAGTCTTCGAAATGCTCTCGTGCGTCCCTCTCCGTAAAGAAGCGGCATGTTGATGTCTAACAGTCCCATCAAACAATAGGCAGAATCCTCCTCTCTTTTAGTCTGTCTTCCTTTTGCCCAGGACAGTCGTGCATCCGTTTTATAAGGGTTCATCGCGTCGCGACAACCCTCGAGAACAGCTCTCGGTATTCCTGTAACCTCAACGATACTTTGCAGGAGTGAGACCCTATCTCCTATGTACCGCTCTTCTGCAGTGAAGAACTGAACCGTATTGGGAGCGATGAGTTCCTGCAGTGTCCAGCCACGGGTAAACCACCTGCTAGTCTGAAAAATTCGAGGATCGCTCTTCACGTCTTCGCTAGTGATATCCGAGAGATACACATAGCACACTGACGCGCGTTGATACCAACGGTACATAGAGTTGATGGCTTCTGATAACTCCGCACTGCTGCCTTTGTCAATGCAGGCTGTATCTACCCAGATGTAACGGAGATTGCTGAGTGCAGCTTGTCGTGCGCAAAATTGAAGCTTCCTGTACCCGATCTTTGTGGTACCTGTCCTCTTTATGATATGTCGATAACTGACTTCTTCGTGGTCATCTCCCCAGGTATGGGAAAGGATAGCGTACGGTGGTATGTCATGGAAGAATTCGGTGAGACAGAAGAAGCCATTGGCTTCAAGGTGCAATAGTCGCATAGCTCAAGGCACTGGAGAAGTGGATCGCCTAAAGAAGATTAAACCTATGTGCAGACTAGAACATCAGATGAGGTGTAAGCTGCGGTCAGGTGAGCGTGAGATTGACAAAGCAGCAATTTGAAGTGGGGTACGAGGCGGTGCAACAACAGTACATGCGCATAACTCCATCCTTCGTGGCGGTGCGACTCAAATCTAGCGTGCTTTCATTTTTGATTGCTACTTTTGAACTAGATGTAGGCGTTGTTATCCCGTCCTAGGCGGGTTGTAGTCGTTCAACCTATGCATGATCAACATACAGCACTCTGCGCCTCAAAGCTTCGAGCTCATACCAGTATACGCAATGCACTCAATCTCAACCGGCACACCCTTGGGCAGCTGCTTGACGGCAACACAGCTGCGCGCAGGCTTGTGGGAGAAGTACTGCTCGTACATGCCGTTCATCTCGGCAAAGTTTGCCATGTCGTCGAGGAAGACGTTGACCTGTCAGTGCAATCAGTACCTTGTTTTACCCGCGTTTCAAATCCTCCAGGATCGGTATGCCTCTCAAGCCACATATCAATGGGACAAGACGTGTTTCGCTGGCGTAGACGCACCTTGACAATTCTGTCCATAGCAACACCCGCCTCGGTGAGAATACCCTTGATGTTCTCGCAGCACATCTTGGTCTTGTCCGCGATGCTGCCCTCGATCAAGTTTCCCTTGGTATCGGCGGGGATTTGACCGGAGACGAAGATATTGGGGCCTGCAACGATGGCTTGTGTCTTTGGTGTGCCCGTTAGCACTATGTATATCGAGGTATAGCGTGTTTGTATAGCTCATTAGAGCTTCATAAGGCAAAAAGGAAGACGTACGTAGGGTCCAGCAGCTACACCATGTGTTAGCAGAGCTTCTTCCCAACAAGTGGATATTTCAGCACAACTTACGAGGACACGCGTTCGCGGTGTGAACCTTCTTAATGTCCGACATCTTTCTGATAGCTTCAATGGAGTATACTGGACGTGGTTGCCGTAGTATAGAAGTCGTAGAAGTAATGGTAGAGGGAAAAGATCTCAAAGCTCGCAATGTAGCTGTGCGTATAAGCAGCATGGGACAGTTTATCTACGTCAGGCAAACCAAGGCTATCGTCGGCGGAGGCGCACCTAAATGAGCGCGTCCGCCCTATCGCAGTGACACGAGGCGGGACCGGCATCGGAAGCTACCCCACTTTCCTCTTTGGTGGCTGCTGTGTCAGCACGATGCAGGGATGTCCTGTGGCATGGAGGGGTAAACAGCGGAAATTTTGGGCACTGCGAGTTTTGCGACGGAGAGCGGTGCGCATTCAGACGGGCGTGACCTCGGCGTGGTGGACAAGAAGAACAGTCTAATGTAGCCTTGGTACGCATCATAGTGACCAGTTGTCAGTGGAGGGATTTGAACGTATTCATCATAAATCTTCGCAGCGCTTTCCCATCTCAGCGCGCATACATCGTGACTATACAAACCGCCAACGCCGCCCATATGCAATTCCCCAACCACCCATCTATATCATGTTTTTTTTGTTTACGGCATCGAGTCGAGATTCATTCCAATGTTACAGATCTACTGCACCATCTTCTCCTCCTGGCCCGAAAGCAATGTGTGTACAGGCGCATCGAGCTGATCGCGGCCCTTGAGGAAGTCTAGCTCGAGAATGAAAAGGTAGCCCATGATCGTTCCTCCTAGCTTCTTCACCAGAGAACCAGCTGCAGCTGCGGAGCCACCTATAATCTCGTTAGCAATTATTCCACACTGTTTGCGCCGAACACGCGTAAGAAGGAAAAGTCCTCACCAGTTGCGATAATGTCATCAACAATGAGCACCTTCTGCCCGCTCTTGATAGCATCCGCCTGCATCTGGAAGAAGTCGCTTCCATACTCCTTCTTGTACTCAGCCGTCTCACACGGACCAGGCAACTTGCCCCTCTTCCTGACGGGCACAAAACTTGCACCCAGCCTCAGCGCCAGACTAGGTCCGAACAGGAACCCACGCGCATCGAGTCCGACAACGACATCAGGCTTGGCACCCGAGGCGCCAAACTGCTGCTCAATGGACAATTCAAGACCGCGCAGCAGTCCCTCGTGCAATTGCGGGTTGGCAAAGATGGGCAGGATGTCCTCGAACAAGATGCCTGGCTCGGGGAAGTCTTTGAATTGGCGCAGCGAGGCCTTCAGCGTGCTTTTAAGACGGGTGAGTTCGGCGGCGGGGGAGGGATGGGGGGTGGACTGTCCTCCTTGGGCGGCGCCATGGTCGTTGGAGGAGAGGGTTGGATCGGGCTTTTGCGGGGGTGGGTGTGCGGCGGTTGCGTCGCCCTTGAGTGGGGGGTCGGCGGGCGTCGTCGTGTTGATGGGGTGTGTGGTGTGGGCGGGCGTGTCGTGGGGGGCGGACATGTTGGAGGGAGGGGGAGGGGGACGGCGTAAAGATATAAGACGGAGCGGACTGCAAGGTAAGATGATGGGATGGGTGACGCGATAGATAGGGCTAGGTAGGTTGCCGGGTTGGGGTAAGGCAAGGTGGTCAAGGCTGTCCTGGGTTGCGTTGGGCTGGCTATGGCTGGCTGCACTGCAATGCTGTCAGATTTCGGGGGGGGGGTGTGTGTGTGGTGCGTGCCTTGTTCAGGAATTGGGTCTTGCTTGACCTGCCCGGGACGCAAAAGAAAAAAAATAGTTAGGGCCGTCTGGAAAACGGTCCGTAGGCGCAACACAAGTCCTTCTGGTCCCACCTCCTCCGAAACTCTGATAGGCGAGCACAAGAGCGGCCAGGGAAATCGGGGCGCCCCGCCCTTGTTGTTCAGCCGCGAAGCAGAGACACGTTCGAACATGGTTGCCTATACACCACCACGCTTCTCGATGCGGCAGCTCCATAACCCTCAACAGCACAGAGCCATCCTATCGCACTCGCT